TAATCGTTTTCTTCTTCTCCAACACACATGGTTGATTGAGACCTAACGAATTGGGTCGATGTCTTTTTAGAAATTTCAGATTCATTTTTCTACATAAGAAAAAAAAGGACATTCTCAGAACTCATCATAAATGCCATCGTTCCCATCATTTTCACATTTAACATTCTTGTGTATTTGCGTCTTTTAAGAGACTGGACCGTTAAGAAAAAGTGATTTCATACATGTTTTCAGTTTTTTAAAAGTGAAGATAAGAGATACTGACTTGTTAAATATACAGTAAATACTCACGCATGTTGCTCATATTTGCGACGTTTGAAGTTTGAACCCTTGATTTTCTAAAAAGCTAGGCTTTACACGTATCTCATGTAGGGGTGCTTAAAAGCCCGACCAACCCAATCAACCCAACCCAATCCAACGCCAAATAACTTAACCCGATGTCTAATCGAGTTGTAAAATTTTCAAACCGTAGGTATTTGGGTCACTATTATTTGAATCCAACTCAACCCAATGAACCCGATATCCTTTTATTTCTTGGATTGAATATGATTATTGAATTTCTATTAATATATACACTAGACAATTACACTATCACGTACGCTATTCATATACACATCTTTTCAATCTATTCACATCTCTATATAACAGATTCATATATATATGTTCAGTAACTATAAACACATATACGTAACTTGAGAAAATTAACTAGATGTGATATACGTAAGAAGTATGGATAAGTTGTATCAAATGGTTGATGATGAAAACGAAATTATGAGTAGAGAAATAACATATCCAATGAAGAATATTTTAATGTACCAAAGTATCAACCCGACCAACTCGACCAACCCGTATGGTTTGGGTTGGGTTGCATTTTCGTTTGGGTTGGGTTGAGTTAAAAATTTTCAAACCGCGAGCATTGAGTTGTTCAAATGTCTTCAACCCAATCAACCTAACCCATGAGCACCCCTAATCCCATGTACCACTGAGCTAGTAACCTTTTTTCAAGTGAATAAAACGTTTTTTTGTTGTTGCTTGACTCATGTTAGTACAACAACAACTATTCAGGATGTGTCAGTGTTCAGCTGAACATATTCCACTTTAATAGGCCATATTTATCATGTTTGTTATTCAAATGTTGATCTGAAGTCGACCATAATTTACAATCAGATAATTTATCAAATCTGATTACATGTTCTTTGAGTTTATGAACTTTATTTAAATTAGAATTCAAGAAAGAAAATGAAAAAAGGTTGAAGATGATGAATGGACAAAAATACCCCACACTTTAACATAACTTCGATTAACATCAATACTACAAAGACTAGATCATTTAAAAATGATGATGATGTCCAACCAATTATAAAAAAGTCAACGAATTAAAACTGAAAAATTAAGAAAATGATTAAAAGTCAAATTGTGAACGGTTGAACTTAATAAAATCGAATATCAACGAATGTTTTGTAAATAAAAGTTATAAGGTGTATAATTTATAACTATGGATTGGGTTCACGTGAGACCAACCTATTTTTGTGAGACAACTTTTTGATGTGAAGTTTTAAGTGTAAAAAAATGGTTTCACGAGTCTCATTAAAACAGGCTGATCACACGTGATCCCAAATTTTATAACTATTATTTACAAAATTTTGTAAACTAGTTATGGTTATTTAAAAACACATGTGCCTATCCAACATTGTTTTGAGTTTCAATTTTTATTTTTTCTAAGGTGCCAACACAACAACAAAATTTAATGAAACCCAACCAATTGAATGTAACTATAATGTCTAGGGGTTGTTTGACAGTTGCTGAATGGTTTGGTGCATAATGATTAAGTGGTCGGAATGAATAAGAGGCTCTCATGATATAGTGCAAAATGGAATATAATTATTTGGTAAATGTTTAAAATGAAATTAGGGTGCTGAATGGTTAAGGGAGGCATAAGATACAAAATCATGCAGATGGTTTTAGAATCACTAAGACGCAAACTGTTTTTTGTGCCAAACAAGACTTACCTTTTAACAGTTCAGATGTTGCCTCTTAATGAAACTAGTAAGAGGTAAACAAACAACCCATTATCAAATATAAGTTAACTTGTTGTTTGAGCTTATTTTAAAAGATCTATTTGGATGGAGGAAATATAGCTTATAAGATAGCTTATTGAAACAAAAGCTGGAATAACATTTCAATAAGTTCTAGATTTTTTTTTTTGCAGTTTGGAGTAGCGTTTCAACAAATTCTAAATGCTACTTGAAATTCTATTAATTAACACAGTATATTATTTAATTTTGTTATTATATAGTTTGTATTGCTTAACATATTATATTATTATTTATTTGTTTAAAAATGTATTATGAAAATTAATTATTGACTATTTTTTAATATTTTATTTATTGGTTTTTTTTGCATTTTTCAACTAGTTTGTCAACTAATCTATACTATGTTATAAAACATCTGACAAAAACTCTTAAAAACTACCTTTTATGCATGAAATACTATTTATTGATGTATATTACTTAATTTTCAAGATTGCAAGTAAATTATGCGTAAGTACAACTTATTAAAGCTTTATGTTTAAATTTGTATAACTAACTGCAGATAAATATAATCAAATAGAGAATAAATATCTCATTTTAAATATAAAAAATCAAAAACATAATTAAGATAGCCATTAACTTCTAACAAAATACTTAATTATTATCTTTATAAAAAATTATATTATTAAATAAAAAATAAAAAAAGAAATTTAAGAAATACACAAAAAATGAGAAATTTTAAATAGTTAGTTTGTTACTATATCAATATTTTTTTTCAATTCTTTTATAATATCTTCATATTTATATTTTATTAAAAAATAAAAACATTTATCGTTTTCTCAAAATCACATAAAAGCATATTATAACATCGACTAAGACAAAAAAAGAAATAAAACGAAATATTCAAATTAAAATGTACCTCGCTGTATTATGCGAATACCCTCTTTACTTTTATCAAACTAGTTCATTAGTTAGCTTATTAACATCATGAGTGGAAACATTAATACATTAATGACTTGCATTTAATGATGATGTTAACCTCTTGAAATGTCAAGGTTTTGAAAGGTTTCATCTAAATGATTTATAAGGGGGTATAGATAAATTTATATATTTTTATAAGTAAATTACAAATTTGGTCCTTGTGGTTTATTAAAAATGACACTTTTTGTCTATGCATTTTTGAAATTATAAGATGGTAATCGTGGTTTGAAAAACGTACGTATTTGGTCTTTTTCTCTAACGGTCGTTAAAATGGTCCATTAATTTCATCAATTTTTCTTGACTTTTACCCCATCAAAATTCAAAGATATCAAAACCATAAATTGAAATTTGAGATTTTCGGGTCAAAATTGACACACTTTTCAACCCCGTGATCGAGAGTTGCAACATGTTTTAAAATCGGACCCGAGCTTATTTGGAACCGAACTTTATACACCTCTACTTTATTAGAGCATATTCAATATATTCTCAGAATTTAAAAAAAAACAATAGAGATTTTGGACAGGAAAGGAGATGGTATGAAATTCTTCTAGTTTTGACAACTTTCCAAAAATAGTTATCATGGGAGAACAATCTTTTTTAATTATATTTTTCACATGTAACCTTGAAATTAAATGTTTAATAGAGAGAATTCATATTTATTAAAGTGTAAAATATTTTAATAATATGATAAAGATAAATTTATTAAAATAGCCATTTTTCAGGATTGATTTCACCTCTTAGTCACTTTCTCTCCAAATTTACCAAAATAACCATAGGTCCGCAAAACTCATGTCAGCAATTGCGGATGCAGCTAAACGAAAAAAGAATTACATTTTCTACCTATGTCTACAAAAAAATTTACATTTCTCATCACATCCGTATTTTTTTTATATTTTTTACCCAGGTCCACAAATTTTTTTTTTTAAAATCACTGACCTAAGACTATTTTGGTAAACCTTGTGAAGAAATGACTAAGAGGTGAAACCTAACAGGTAAAAATGGTTATTTTAATTAATTTTCCTATAATAAATATTATAAATTCAAAGAAAAAACCATTTAAATTATATATATATATATATATATATATATATATATATATTAGAGTAAACTATAAATTTGGTCTTTGTGGTTTGCCAAACATAATACTTTTCATCATGTAGTTTCTAAATTACAAAATATCCATCATAGTTTACAAAAATGATCAGATTTGATCCCTGCCTCTAATGGCTATTAAAAAATCCCGTTACATGAGGCATATATCCGCCATTTTATTGGTTTTTTTGGCTTTTACCATATCAAGATTGATTTTACGATTTTCGCTTCTATGGTTTTTGATTGGGCAAAAAATAAAAAATAATAAAAGAACGAAAATGTCTTTTATTTAACAAAAATTTTAACGACCGTTAGAAGGAGAGATCAAATCCATACGTTTTTTTAAAGATAATTATGATTATCTGTAATTTCAAAACTACATAAACAAAAAGCGTTATTTTCAAAAGACGATAAGAAGGGGCCTTTTACCTAATTGCTTACTCGGTAAGCGCTTATCGATAAGAGTAAACACTATGATTTATTTTGATGCGTAAGATTTTAGTATATTAAACATATCGAATGCAACAATTTAGTGGGTAAGCGCTTACCTGAGTAAGAGTCGTCATCATCACTTATCGGGTAAGACTCTCCATCATTCTCATCGCTTTTAACTGGTAAAATTCTTGATCCTTCTCATGTTCATCCAATGAGGAAATTTATCCGGTAAATACTTACTTGTTTAGTAAACGATTCAGAAGCAAATTTGTAGTTTACTTCATAATTTTTAAAGACTTCAAAATTTAAAAGTAATTTTAGAGAATCTACGTCGCATATTAGAATACACTTCGAGGGACTTCATTGTGATAAATCTTAAGTACAGGGTCCAAACTGCAAGTTCTCAAAAAACTATATCGAAGACCACTAAAAAAGGGGAATGTATATGTCACAACGCCTGAGACGGCACCGACTCGATTTCCCTCCCATCACCGGCGGTCCGTTATTCGAATTCCGCGGCCACTTCTCCGGCGACCCTAATATTCTCGTGGGGCTATCGAACGTGCATAGCAAAAGGTATGGTTTCCCTTAATGTATTAGTCTCCTTATGAATCCAAGCTTTCGAGTTTGTTGATGGGATCCTGTATGCATATTGTTTTGATTTTCATATCGTTGAATCCTAATTTGTGTTTTCATTTGATATGGTAAAAATCCACTTCAGTTGCACAAGATTCTGTGTGTATTTATTTGGATGGTCGGTCTTTCAGTTGTTGAATCCTCCTGCCCACCAGGTGTTTGTGGTTATGCTTAGTTGAAACTGGACTCCATCTTGAGCAGTCAAATAATCTCGCAAATTCCGATTACTTGGTTGGAGAACAGATTTTTCTACAATAATAAGCCTGGTGATTTGTGAATTTCTATTCTATTGTTCTGCAAACCTTGTTTGCCCTAATTGAGTTTAAACCCCAAAACGATGTTATGGTTTAGCATTCATATCATCTCTGATCATGTTCTTCAAAAGAGCACACAGATTGTGAGAATGAACCATTCTGCATTTAAGTTGCAGGTTTTGCATAGATATAGCTAATTGTATTTAAATGAAGGCTTGGGTGGGTGCTAGTACCTTTCGGAATGGGTCTACAGCCACATCTGATGGTTATTCTATGCGTCTTTGTAGTTTTCGTGGTATATACATGTATTAAAGCAAGAGTTGGAAGTATGACAGAGCATGTTTTCTGTATTAGTATTTAGTTTAGTCTAGGGAAGATAGGTCTAGGTTCCATTGGTTACACCTTTTTCATGCATTCTTCATTTTTGTGGTTCCATATTCATTTCTTCTGAAATCAGGTGAAAAGACCAACCATCACATCTTCAATTGTTCTCACATCAAGTAGATGGATGCACAAAAAGGAAATTTGATATGCCCATATGAAATAGACTGAACCTTTATTTTTGGGATCTTAGGGGGTGCTTGGTTCGTTTTAGGGAATGAAAATGTGAATGCCAGGGAATTGAAATGGGATGAGTTTCATTCTCCCCGATTTTTTCAGGGATGCTGCATTATCCAATATCTGTTAATGGCCCATTCCATTGCATCAAACCAGTCACCATTAATGATTTCCAGTTCCTTTACCCTACCCTTGGTACCCTCTAGATATTGGCTGTGTTCTTGTATTGCTTACTGTGTTTGCTGCTTTTGCCATATAAAAAGATGTTAAGCTGTGTTTCAGAAAATTTCCACTCTGGACCTAAAATGTGCATAATTTTTTATGTGTGTTTATGTTTCTAAGATGGTTGCAGTGACAACTAGAGGTTTGTGTGAGTTGATGGTTTAGTTTTCTTTTATGCAGATTATCTATAGTTGTATTTCCATTGCAGGCTTACAACGTGAAATGAAATACGGATTAAATCTAAGAGTCCAGTCCTCCCAACAAAAAAAGCAACCCACCAGACCTCCTCGCCCTGTGGCACCTGGTTTTGGTGACGACGATGAAGATGATATTGAGAGAGAAATTTCTCGACAAGCCAGCAAGAACAAGGCTCTCAAGGATGTAAGTGGCTGTTTGGTTGGTTTTGCATTAAGTTCTACATGGATAAAGTTGTCAGTGTGGATTAATCTGTCTGTATAGATGGAGAATTTTTTTTGTTTGGGAGAGTTTTTCCGTAGATGGAAAGGAGCGTGTTTATTAAATTGGGAGGGGCAGGTTTGGAAAAAACTTGGCTTTCTGCATAAAGCTTCCTCCTAGAAGCTTATTTAACAACCCACTTTCTATATCATTAAGCTACTACCAACAGGGACGGACCCAAACATTGGCACCACTAGACTATAAGAAACATATATAGGGAAAAAATTTGAAGTAGTGGCACAATTTGACTAAGAAAATGACACTAATAGGATTCGAACTCGGGTCTGGGGTGGAAAAAAAAGCCTTGCAAACCAACTCTATCAAATAAAACTTGTTCTTATTGTAGTTTCAAAGTACATACGGTGACACAACAAATTAATATGGTTGCACCTTTCATGAACCTAATTTTTTTTACCCTTTGACGGAGGAATAATACGGTTGCACGTGCCACTGGTGGCACCATGCTGGGTCCGTCTCTGACTACCAAACAGTCATGTATAGCTGGATTGACTAAGCTGTGAGTCCCATTAAGCTCATTAAACTATTAACGAACAGGCCGTAAGTGAGCCATGGAAATGAAATTCCTTTTTGGGTTTCCTTAACTTATCATGCAAGTTCTTTACTTTGTCTAGGTAGAGGAGCAACATAAGAAAGCCTTAGAGGAGGATCCATCTGTATTCGATTATGATGGTGTATACGATGAAATGAAGGAGAAGGCAGTTCGTCCTGTTGCACAAGATCGACAGGAGAGAAAGGTACCATATATATTCTTGCATACTTGCGAGTATTTTTTTATAATGATATTGTGATATGAACTTTCAAATCCCATAATATTTTAGGTGATTTGTTTGTGTATATCTAAATTGTAATTATTAAAAAATGTAAGCATTGACAATCTGGTAATGAAAATTTAATCAATAATCATGCTGGACAACTCGGACCTAGCTTAAGCTGCAGGTTGTGGGTTGACATTTGGAAATGGCCAATTCTCATCATTTGAGAAGTACCGAGTATCGGCGGGTTATCCAGGAAAATAACTTTCTAACAAACCGAGGCATTCTTGGGGAAATTGTGTAAAATAGCCATTCTAGACTCTTCAATTCATTTTATAGCCATTTTTCTACACATTTGACCGAAATAGCTAGCACTTTAGCAACGTGAAATCTACCTTTTATGAACTTAAGGGGTGTTTGGTTAGAGGTATTAAGCAGTGATCAACGGGAATGACAAAAAAGAAAGTGTTTGGATTTATATAATATAATGGGTTCATTCCCCAATAGGCCAAATTTTCATTCCAGGTTAAACCAGGGGGGATGAAAAGTCATTCCCATTTTTATTCTGGTATTCCCTGTCATTTTCATTTCATTCCCTTTTTCATTCCTCGATCTGAATCAAACAGCCCCTTAATATTCATAAATTAACCTTTTAGCAAGTTACTATAGTGCTACTTGCAAAATGCTGACATGGCAAGTAGCACTTTAGCAAGTTTGGTAAGTAGCACTTTAGCAAGTTGCGTAAGTGACACTTCCATGTCAACATTTTGCAAGTAGCACTTTAGGAACTTGAGAAATTGCTGTTTAAATATCATATTAATAAAAAAGTGGATTTTTCAAGTTGCTAAAGTGCTGCTCTCGTAATCTTGGCTATTTTGGTAAATATCTAGAGAAGCACCTATAAGTGAAATGGAGGGGTATCAAAAATGGTTATTTTGGACAATTTCCCGGCAATCTTGTGTTAGGAAGAGTCATTCTTCTGTTAGGCAGAGCGTTCTTGTCAGAAGGGTAGATTTAAAAAAATCCGATTGAAGGTAAGGAAGCACTCATATATGCCTTCATCTTTCTTTGTTGATCGTGTGTATTCCCCGTTACAGCCAAGGTATATTCAAGCATTGATGGACAAAGCGAAAGTGCGTGAACGAGAACATGAGATAATATACGAGAGAAAACTTGCCAAAGAGAGGACCAAAGAAGACCACCTTTTTGCAGACAAGGACAAGTTCGTTACCAGTGCCTACAAAAAGAAACTTGCAGAGCAGGCAAAATGGTTGGAGGAAGACCGATTGCGTCAACTTCGGGAAGATAAAGAAGATGTAAGTTGTGTTTTTTCTTTTTGTGTTTTTGTGCTATCCTGCAGTAGAATGGAATGCTTACACATCTGATTGATGTCATACCTAAAGTTTATCCTTGGACCCCATTAATGTATTGATGCATTGCTAGTAACACAACATAAACTTCAATATATATATATATATGTATATATATATATATAGAGTCGGGTTCATACAAGAATGGTACCTATTTAAGAAAATAAGAGAATGCGAATCACATGTGATTTTACACTAACATCACGTGCAATATCACATGTGATTCACGCGACCTTGCCATGCGACCTTGCCACGTGGACATAGGGTCGCCCGCACACTTTTTTTGGTCGTTAATGTAAATCATATGTGATTTTATACTTATTTTTGTCATTCTCGTATTTTCTTAAATAGGTACCATTCTCGTATGAACCTACTTCTATATATATATATATATATGTATATATATGTATTTACATAATATATACAGAGAAAGGGGGGGGGGGGAGGATCATGTGAGAGTCTTTCTTCTTCACAAGAAGATGGCATTGTATGAATGTTGTAACCTTCAAATAACCTACAAATGTGTATTCAAGGTCACATTATATTTGTACGAAGGTTGTAAATATAAGGGTGTCTTTACAGGTCTTATTACAAACCTTCACACGATATAAAGGTATCTTCACCTTTTCTCACATTCTCACGAAAATAGGTTGTTCTCACTGGAACCTAACCATAATATATGTGTGTGAGTGTGTGTGAATGGGCATAAACAAATGAGAACCTCAAAAATGTTGAGAATCGTGAGAACCAATGAAATATGTGTAGTTTCACAATGTGAATTAATACCTTGAATCCTATCCTTCGATGAAACTCAGGGTCCTTTTGGTTTGATAGAATATTTTTGAGGGATTTGGATTTTGTGGAAGGATTTAGAATCTTTGGTGTGTTTGGTTTGTAGGATTTGGAATGGAATTGAGTTCCATTCTTTATGAATGATTTATAAAAACAAATTATAAAAAGTTAACAAAATAATTAAATTACCTTTTTATCAATTGATTATTACAAAACAAGTGTTTTTACATACAAATCTTTTGAAATGCCAACCACCCCTATGGTTTCAAAATCCGAAATTTGTTGAAATCTCAGGAAATCCTTCAAATCAAACATAGGACAGGAATGGACTTCATTACTTCAATTCCAAATGCCTCCAAATCCAATCCAATCCTGCAAACCAAACGAGACCTCATTGAACAGTTGAAATTGGTTTTCACAGATCCTCAACATTTTCTAGGTTCTCATTTGATTATGCCCTATGTGTGTATGTGTATCCTCATATCTCTGTGTGTGTGTGTGTGTGTATACACGGGTTTTTACTATCCAAGAAAAAGATGCATTTGATTTTGTTAACAAGTTCCCTTATTTTGAACCATATGTTTTCTTTTACACCATTTTCCTCTATCTACATTCTTCTACACCATTTACTAGGTCTGTTCAGTTTGGTTTGGTTTATGCCACAAAAATAAGCATCTTTTCTGATTCAAATTTGTGTCCAAATTTACATTTTGGTGCAACAGATAACCAAGAAGGGTGATATGACTGAATTCTACTTCAATCTGTCAAAAAACGTCGCCTTTGGAGCAGAAGACGGCAAGGCAACGAAGCCCACCAAGCAAACAGAGGAATCAGAGATTCGCAAATCAGATGAAAGTCTCCCGTCAAAAGTGAACTCGAGAGAAGAAAACCAGGGTGAACCATCTGCTGCTGGGTCCAAGGAAAGATCTGAATCGGTTGAACCAAAACCCGTTCTGGATTCTCGTAAGCAAGAAGTCTTGAATGATTCCCAAAAGCAAGAATCTGAAACCGAAGGCGTGACAGCTCAACCGCCAACCGATCATCATAAAAGGAACCAGGATGCTTTGGCTGCTGCAAAAGAGCGGTTTCTTGCACGAAAGAAAACAAAGGTAAATGTGTAGGTTCGACGACGAATGTTATAGAATTCTGGAAAGGGGAAATATGATCTTGTGGTGTTAAGATTTCTGGATTGGTGTCATGCTCATATCTATATATGGTTTTGGGTAGTGGAGTTTATTCATCTGTGTACTTGTGCTTGGTTCTCTATCTATTAATCTTGGCCCGATGAATTTTTGTGTTTGTTAAGGTAGCGTTTGGTAAGCAATACTAGACACGAGTGTGGTATGAGACTAATTATCTGTTCAGTATTTGGTACGGTTAATATAAGACTGGACTAATTTTCCATCTTGCGTTTGGTAGTTTGAATAAAACGAGAAAACCGTTAGAAATGACCAGTTTGCCTATAAATGACCTTTTGTTCTACCATGTTCTTGTTCGATGTTATGCCAGACATGAGACTTTTTTTTTGTCACTGTCGCGTCCCATGTACTTTAGACATCAAATGCGCCCTCACGTTCTTGCACAATCAAAGCTCTTATGGAACTAGGCTGTTTACCAAACACTTACCCGGTAAGCGCGTACCGATAAAATTTAAAACTATCATTTACTTTACCAGGTGAGATTTTAGTCCACCAAAACGACATTGTATGCAACAATTTACTTGGTAAACACTTACTGTGGTAAGAGTCGTCGCTCTCACTTATCGGGTAAGACTTTTGGTTCTTGTCTCGCTCTTACCGAGTAAGATTCTTGGTCCTTATCATATATTCATCCGCTAAGGTAATGTGACTTGTTAAGCGCTTACCCGGATAAACGTTTAGTAAACGGCCCCTAATTGCTTTACTTTTTTTTTTTTTCATGGTCATGTATGCATTTTACTCTTCTACTTTTTTTGATGTGGTTTCAATTTTTCTAGATTGGCTTTAATTGAAAGTTTAAAAGTAAGTCATGATATTTAAACATTTGGAAGATCCTTTTAACTAAACCATAAATTGTTCTTTAAAACCACAATGGTGATGTTTGATTGGTTTGAGCTTGGATCCAAAGGTCAAAAATGACAGGAGGTCTCAGGTTCAAATCCAAGGAGGAACAAAAATCTCCTTTACGGCCACGGAGGTTCAAATGCGGTGACTCTAGGCTACGTGCAAAGCATGCGGTCGTCCTGCATATTGATCGCCTCGTATATCGGGTTAGATATCCAGGTTAATAAAAAAAATTGTTCTTAAAAAAAAGGAAATAAAAAATTCTTCATACTTTGAAAAATCTCTAAAACGTCTTTATATTTAGAGAAATCTCCAAAATTAGTTTTGGACTAAAGAAAAGCTATAATTATTTAACATTTCTTTTGGAAGGAAGAAAATTAAAAAGTTAATTATATTCAATTTTAATAATTTCTGTATTTTGAAAATTTTATAATTGATTATAATATTAAAAATATTCAATAAATTTTTTAGAAAATATAACAAAAATTACACTTTTTTTTGGTTGGGAATAGAAAAAAAGTGAAAAACAATTAATGATTATCTCCTTCTTTCTCTATTTTGGAAGATAATTTGGAACTTCTATTAAAATCAGGGATCGTTTATTAAACACTTATCAAGTAAGCGTTATCGACATTACTTACCTTATTGATTGAGTTTGACAAAGACCAAGAATCTTACTCAGTAAGAGACATAGCAAGGAGCGATAGCCTTACCTGGTAAGTGAGGGAAGAGACTCTTACCCGGTAAGAGCTTACCGGGTTGAAAATGCTTATCAACAATCCATTTTGACGGCCGAGAAGACCAACTTTTTATAAAATAAAATAAAACTTGTGAAATTTCTATTTCATCTATTTTAAAGATTCTATTGAAGACCCTCTAACAAGTTGAACTAAATGGCAATATACAGAGATTCGCAAACGAAGAACGAAAACTGATGAACCAGAGACACGTAAAAAATGGACCAAGTCAAATAACGAGCTTAAATTCGACTCGATTTGATATCTAACTTGGATTTAGCCCAACCTTTCATACTAGATTTGGGCATAATAATCATGTTCAACTCAAGAATAAGATAGTTAAGTTCAATCAGGATTATTGACATCATAACTCGGTTTTCACAAGACCTTCATACCATTTACGACTTCTGCTTGATTTGTCTTGCCACGAAGAAAATGGTCAAATGTGCAAACGAGTGAGACATTGGATCGTGACATTGAACAAAAACTAAGGAACGAGTTGATGGGAAGTGCCATCAAACATATGCCCTCAGCACCACAATTGGTTCATGGATGGTATACTTAGCAAAGGTTTGACTCTGGTGCGTGCAGTGTTAGAGTTGCAATTCCTTTGTAGATTGGACTTCTTGTAAGCACGAGGCCATTAAATCAACCACCTAGCAGACCGTTGTATACCTGCTTTACCTCATATGTTCAAGTCTGGAGTCTACAGTGTAGCAGTCACAGACTCACAATTCCTTTAGAGTGCGTTTGGTACACGGGACAAGACACAACATAAATTTATTATCCCACTTTTGGCGCAACAATTAGACCGGGACATGACAGAACTGAGTAGGATAAAAACACAGTTCTTTTGTCCCACAAATAATAGGTGGAACAAAAATTGGGAAGACAAGACAGATAGAGAAATTACTAAACTGCGCATGTCAAATTAAAAACTTACAACCTTCTACAATTCTTTCATCCGCCTACCTCCTTTCGCCAATCCAGTCATATCTGGTATATCTCCATACCAAACGCACCCTTGAGAATTGGACCTCTTGTAAGCACCATGCCATTAAACCAGCAACCTAGCAGCTAGCGGGTTGTTGTGTATGTGATTTACCTCTCACAGGTTCCAAGTCTGGTGACCACAGTATGGGAGTAACAATTCCTTTGAGGATTGGATTTCCTGTGAGCACCAGATTATTAAACCAGCCACCTAACGAGCTGTTGTGTACTGATTTACCTCACATGATCCTCTCAGGACAGGGCGGTGTGGGCCAGCTCGGGGTTAAAATTTAAAAACCCTTTTTTGCACAATAAAAGATTGCCTGATTGAATAAGCCCGAAATGATGTTTTTACAACAAACCTAACTGCAGGAATTGCAATAGAAATTGGTTGGTCTGTCTTAAGAATTGGAGTCTAGAAACAAGCATACATCTACCTATATGTATATCTTTCAGCATTGTATTCATGAGCAGTATAAACCATGATGTGCTCTCGATGAAGCATGGCATACCTTTGTTTTATGGGTAGCGGTCACCCTCCCGGCACCCATGTAGGGTATAAGCAGTTTTTGCACCAGCTTCCCCTCCCCATTGGGTGGAGCATTCAATCTGTGCAACACGATACCATTTCCGTATGCATGTACATGCTGATAGCATCATGATGAATGTATGTTATCCCATGGAAGGAGCAGAATAACTCCATCTAAATTTGTAGCAAGGTTCAAGATCCACAAAACCTTAAGAATTATCCTGCGAAAAAGAATCAAAAACTAATCAATACCCCATAAATGCTCAGTCCAGCTAATTTTGCCCATGAACTTGATGGAAAAGTAGGTCAGTTCCAAAATATATAAGCAATTGGTTGGATTTATTTCCATTGTAATTCAGCAAGGTAATTACGGATGCAATCTTGGCTGACAGAGGTACTGGCCTGAACAAATGGACAATCCGGACCGACTACAAGCCTTTACGGGTGCATTTGGTATGCAGACAGGACTGGACTGGCGAGAGTGAGGTAAGTAGGTGAAAGAATTGTGGAAGTTTTTAAGTTTTTAATTTGACATGGGTAGTTTAGTAATTTCCCCATCTTGTGTCATCTTCCTGATTTTTGTTCCACCTATTATGGTGAGTCAAATAAAATGCAATTTTGTCCCACTCAGTTTTGTCATATCCAGGTCCAGCTCAAACACCAAACCTAAATAGTTTGAGAATCTATCTTAATCCACCTCCAACAATATCTAATACATCTTAGATTTGACATTTCTTAATTCTCCGCATATTGAAAGTTATAACCTCATCGACAAACAAGCACTTTTGCTTGCATTAGACTAGTAAACAAATAAATTTTTCGAAAAAGATAAAAGTAGGGTACATACTGAAGAGAATTTATTTGCTTTCACATACTTGAGGAGCAAAATGTTGAATGAATCCATCTCAAAATCATCAAGCCGAATCTCCCCATCCAGAAAAGCCCCACTTCAACCAAAGAGAAAAACAATGCTTTGACAAGTATTCTGGTAAATCAGCCTGCGAATTTCATAGTAATAAGAGCGATTAGAAAAGTGCACATTAAAAGAGTAAGCGTTTGACTGTTCGGTTTCATTAACTTCAAAATTGACGGAATTATTTTTCGTTTTTGATAAACCACATTTAAGGCTTCAAGCATATGAAAAAGCATTAAGGATAAAAAAAATTGGACATTAACAAAAAACCTTGGCAAATTTGAATTTGAAAATACAATTTTTGAATCCTTGAAATAAAAAATTGACTCATCTATTGAGCCAACCTTAATTTAGGAGAAGCTCAACAAACAGAGAAAAATTGGATGCTAATGTAGATATCTAAATATCCGAAGCTCAAAAATAATCAAACTTCAGGCTAAGCACATATGGCATCTCAAATGAAGTGTTAGGTTAATTTTTATATGAAACAACACCAATGGAACATAATTTGATAAGAATCTAGGATACCAAAGGGTCCTTGGCCCAACAATACCAGGGTTACCGGTAGAGCTCAGCCTCCCAGGAGGTCAGGGGTTCAAACCACACCAAAGGCAAGAAGTGTGCGTGAATATTTGCCATATATAAATATTACTCCCTCCATCCCAAAATGAGTGTCCACATTTCTATTTTAGTTGGTCCAAAAATAAGTGTCTACTCTCAAAAGTAAGTGTCTAGTTTCCCATTCTACCCTTAATTATGAGATGGAGAAATTTTCTCCTTCTACTAGTAAGGGTAAAATTGTCCTTTGGTTAATTTAAAAGTGTAACAATTACACATTATTGAAACTATGTGCCTTTTTCATTGTGGACATTTATTTTGGGACGGAGGGAGAATATACTTCCAAAAAAAAAGAAACTAGGCTCAATGAACTTACACTGCTCCATGAGGTAGAGTATCCATCTGTGGAGAGTAACCAATAACTAGCCTTGGATTGGAAGTCCATCCTGTCATATGAGAAATCTAAATCCAGAAGATCATTGTTGTGGCGATCATCAAGATTGAGGTTTCTTCTTCTTTTCTTTCTATGCTTTCCTTTCTTCTTGCGCTTCGACCTTGGGGAACGCCTTCCATCTGAATCGGAGTCACCATCATCCGCTAACCCGTTATGGTGTAACAATTCATGCTTGCCCAAGTGGCGAAAACTTATGTCATTGCTGTTAAACAAAGATTCCCAGGCTTCAGGAGGCCAGTTCCCATCCGACAAGAAAAAATGAAGAGCCCAAGATTGCAACCCTAACAATTTTATCGAATTTATGCTTTTTGTCTTGGAGCATTCTTTGATCAGCGGGCCCAAATCATCGGAATTTGTTGACAAGGTGCAAAGCTGTTGCACAACATCCTTGATTTGAGTTCCTTCCTCTCTGTGCTCGTCTTCTCGTAAAAGCTGCAATAGTTGACGCCCTCGATTTATAACAGCATTCAACAAAAGTAGCTCATCAAATGAATCTGAACCACTGTATCTCGGAAGTATGACCTCCATACATGTATCACCGGAATCTGTAGGTTTGGTCTTTGGGTCAAGAAATTCTTGAAGCAAATCCAAAGAAGCAGACAGTTCCCTCTCGTCAAGAACAATTAGAAGGTGGGAACATAATGATGAGAAAGGTTCTTCCATTAGAAACTCGTTAATGACTCTCCATACCTCCTCCATATCATCTTTGTACATTAAGCTAACAAACAGATTTACGAAGAATTTCATATCCATAAACAAAATGTCACCATCCTTTAATGTGTCAGCAAACTCATGAGATGACCAAAATTCAGGCACATTTTCAAGAAAATTCTCAACTGTTTGTTCAACATCGAGATCGAGAAAGTAATGAGGTTTTGTTGCAACCATGGCAGGGGACTGTCCGTGTTTGCCTTTCCACTCGAGCTCCTCCCAACAAATGTCACGATTCACAAAAGCAAATTGGGATAATGCTTTGGCCCCCTTTCTATGCTCCATATCGCCAGTGCCAGCAAAATTTGAGAACCAAAGTAAAATACGTCTTGGGTTTCCTATATGATTAACAATTAGCACATATTAATCCAGCATTAGAATGAAATCCATCTTAGAGACCTTAACATATCGCATATGTGCAAATATTAATTAGAAAAAGAGCAAAAGCTACAAGTTTTGCATAGTACTATAATAGTCCCATAACCTAGTTACTAGTCAAGAAATGATAACTTGGTTGGATGTGTTTGAGACACTAACAAGATCAACCCATCTGACTTGGTTTATGATAAAAACTATTTGGTTCTGCTATGTAGACTCTAGTTTTGCATTTCATTCTGTCAATAAGTGGCTGTAATGCATCCCTAGTTTCGGTTGTCCTTGTAAGTTTGACCTTTCCCACCTAAGGATGACCTTGGAGATCATAAATATTATCACTTTACCGCAATTAAGTGTCTACATTTACATGTCCAACCATCTTCAGTGATTTTCTCTAAAATTCTCTCGTATTGAAGCCATTTTTGACCAATTCCTCAAAATCTTTTTTTATCTTCCTTTACAGAAGAATAGAGTTGCATTACTGATATCAGTTCAAGAAGCTTTGAAGTCTGAGCTAATTGATTACGCAGTAGATACTACTTGAAGTCAAACTTCATTTGATAGTAGCCGATTACAAACTTGAATTTTTTTATATGCCATGCGCCCTAAACAAAGAAAGGAACTTGACAAAACCATGACAACATACATGAATACAAAACTTTGATATCTCCCTATTGACAAGAATTGATCAGCTTGTTTTCATTGAAAATGAGAGACCGGGGGTCAGCAATGCCGGTCATGTTAGGTTACTTGGGATAACATCGGAAAGTGGAGTTGTAGACCAAAAATACCAGTATGGCAGTACACAAAATGTTAATTACTGCATCCAGCAATATCAATATCGAAACAAAGCGGCTGGAAGCGAAAAGTTGAGTACAGTAACTGATTGGTATTTGGTCAACACCATAACAATTAAAAATGCACCGAAAGACAGACTAAGGCATAATGTAGTTGGTACTATGAAAGCTCGGAGAGATTTCTACACTTTGTATAGCAGCCACAAATTGGTTTGTGATAGTGATAACCAACCATGATCTTGATTTGAGATGACTTGATAGGAGACAGGCTAAGTTTATTTTAATTTTGATGTTTTTGTAGTTCCCAAAATTTTAGGCTCAACATACCTATCCGACCACAGTGATTTTGCAAAACACATTGAACCATATATTGCTGGAAGAATGAGAAATGATAGAACTAATTATAAGGCCTAAATAGCAAGTCGAAGATGGTGATGATCTCTAAAGAAACCAATCTTGGAAGGATAGACAATTTAAAGTAGAAATCCAACCAATTTACCTCTAAAGAAATCCTCTAGCATATCGCTTTTCTTAGCTATGACAGACCCTGCTTTTTTTGGATGTTTCTCAAAAATCATCTGCACAACTTGAGCTGCTAGGTCCCTCTTCTGTGAGCTGGTTCGCAGTAAGGTCACAAAGAGCTCATGTTTTTGCCGGCGGGATAGAGAACTTATCCTTGAAAGATCTTTGCAAAGCCAAAGTCGTACCTCTGATCTACTTTGAGATGCAATCAATAAGCGGACTATGGACTCTAAGTTATTCAAGAGAGATATTCTTCGTTTAACAGAATCATCACCTCCATCCAAACTCCAGTTTGGTTCAGAAATAAACAAATGAACCATTGTGTCACTTGTATGCCAAATTTTTCTATGAAAGCCACCTATAACAGATGAAAGAATCATAAGCAATGTAATTCATATGTAAAAGATAAATACTTTGAATTAGCAATGCAGAAGTATGACCCCTTATCCATTGACAACTTCATACGAATTGAGAAAGGAAGCATTGCAAGGTTATATGGAATGATGAATAAAAAACTTCAATTACTTGCAGGAAGGGAATAGAAAATTGAGGTTTTAGATATCATTTGAAACAAGTCATATGTCATGACTCATGGAAAAACTCGCTTTTTTCCCTTTTTACTTGAATTCAAAGCAGATCATGTAGATGAAGTTATGTATCACAAACTTCACAGTTTTTAATTTGTTCTACAAATCTAACTTTTCAAGGATTAACAAGAGAGCATGTAATAAAATGAACAATCTTATCACATTATCAATAAGACTGTCACTGCGACAGGTGCTAATAACATAATAAATCTCAATGAAGTCAACGGAGAAAATCGCAATTCACAAACTTGTAAAGAATGATAATTTAGAACTTTAGTCACGAGAAAAGAGGATTTGAAAAACTGGGTTTGCGAGTAAATGACAAAAGTCGGTGTGGAGTAACTATACCCTTTTTATTCTCATCATGAAGCAACTAGTTTGATACACAATGTTAAATTGTGGCCCTTATTCTAGACAGTGAGTGGGATCTTGGAAATAATCTCAAACTTTTGGGGGGGGATAAATCCAATATATCTGACCGCCCCTAAAACTTGCATACACATGGTAGAAAGAGAAGTCATTTACACCATAGTAGACAAACCCAATCAAATCTAGTGTCCCATTATAGATGAACTTGTATTTTGGCCATTTTGTTTCTGTGATTTCCTAATCATTGTTAAGTCAGTATTAACTACACCTGCACATGTCTTTTGCTCGTTGTTCTAGCATCATTGTTTCTCTCTGTCCGTATATACTACATGACCGTGCCTAAAGAAAGTTTCTTTATGTAGTTTTCAATAGCATTTCCTTGAAAATGGAAGAATCCCAAGTTGGTCGCTCTCAGGAGTCACTCTTAACCAAAGACTAAGATAGCAGAAATTGAGACATTCACAAACACTTAAGTTGGGTGATGACAGAAGAAACATTCCATAGAAATATTCTATAAAAAAGTTTGATCCTTTATCTACATCATATCCTGTCAGCACAGATTCAAGAATAGCATATATCAGATCATTCCTCTTAAACTCACCTAATCTCCCCTTTCACCTAGTTGCACCTCATTCCATAAGAATCTTAAACATGTTGGGCCTTACCTCTATGGCTCTATGTATACTACAACCCTCCCAACTAATAGATTCCACTCACAGATATCGTAATTCCAGTCATCAAAGAATCCCCTAATAAGTGGAGTTTTGGACATTCAAAGTCCCACTCCAGTAAAATAGCGCTCACTTTGGCATCAACCTCCAACTCAGAATTGGAGATTACATCCAGCTGCATATTAGACCTATGGAACTATCAGTAAGCTCTAGATTAAACCATAGACTATTGCTTTTCGCAGTTACTAATATGCTTCAGAAAAGGATTTAGAAATTGGCACAGATGATAGTCCTTCCTCCTTTTTCCCTTGAACAGTTAAGCACCTAGCTAAAAGGTTGCGAAACATTAATTGACAAACAGAAAACTGCGATAAGACATTGCAACAAATAACAAAACCTTGTAAATTACTCACATATCAACAAACAACTATGAATTATCAAATTTAATTAAAACTTTGCGTAGCGCTAAAGAAACAAGCTTGTTACTTGAAGTAACTCATATAAAACTCAACAATTTTATCCGATTATGGACTTAAATGGCGATGATCAAGTAAGAAAACGAGTATCCGATTACAGCGTTTCAAATCACACCCAAAATGCACCGAACATGACAGCCTGTACAAATAATTAGCACACACAAGCACGTAAACACACAGAGATAAATTAAAGAGAATACGTACCGGAAATAGGTGAGCGTGCCGTCGCCGGTGACGATGAACGGTGAACGAGGGTTCAATTTCGAGCCCTCGTTCCGATTTCAACTTTTGGGTATGATGAACTTTGAAATAGACCTTTAACTTTGTGTTTTTGTCAAATATTATCCTTTTGATTTTTATTTGGGCAAAACAGTCCCTGTATTTTTCTTTGTACATAAAACACTATGCACAACATTTAAGTACTTGGGTAACCGGTTACCGGTTACCATACTGATGTGGCGGATGATGAGATGAAATTAGGTTGAATAGTAAATAATACTAAGTCTGATATCACATCACTCATCACATCAGCATGATAACCGGTTAATGCTTCAACTGTTTACCCGAGTACTTAAATGTTTAAAACTTTACATCTTAGGTATCAAAATGAAAGTTTTAAAAGTACTTTACCAAAATAAAAATCAAGTTAAAATACATTACTTTTTCATGCAATTTGTCATTTCATTAATTAGTAATTGTTTTGTATTGAAGTACCAAACTTATATTTCAAAGTTGGAAATATGTGTTGGTTTTTTCATACATTAATTAACTTGACGAGTATACGAATGTGGTTTTATTTTTTATACATAATTTATAAAAATATATAAATAGAAAATAATTTAAAAAAAATCGCCTTTAATCAATCGACTATTACAAAAGAAATGCTTTTAAACTATTATTACAAATAAATCCAATGAAATCTCGTGAAATACCAACTACCTTCATGGTATTTTAAAATCCAATGTTTGTGCAATTTCGTTAAAATCCCAAGATTTCAATTCCGAGCTTTCATCTAAAACAAACGTGGGGTTGAAATGAAATCCGATTATAAATCCCGCCAGATCACTCGAACGTCTCAAACCAAACGGGCCATAAAACTAGATGAACATGAGAAGTGAAGAGCAAGAGGAAGATCCAAAGACCCCCGACAGTTCTTTTAACTATTTGTCTAACTTTAAATCGTAAAACCCGTTTTTCTCTTAAATCCCTAAACACAAATGACTCGTAGAAATGCAACTGATTTAGTTTAAAACGGTTTTTGTTAAATTTTGTTGCTTTAAAGATCATAAATTCACCATCAACTACAATAGAATGTCTAAGGGGCCGTTTACCAATCGGTTATCTAAGTAAATGCTTACTGATAACTTCAACATTATCACTTACTTACCGGGTAAGATTTTAATCCACCGAAATGGTATCAAATGCAATATTTATTCGGTAAGCGCTAACCGTAGTAAAAATCATCGCTCTCACTTACCGGGTAAGACTCTCGGTACTTATTTTTGCTCTTACCAGGTAAGATTCTTGGTATTTATCATATTCATCCAGTAAAGTAATGTTTAATTGATAAACGCTTACCCGAGTAAGCGTTTGGTAAATAGCCCTTAATACTTCTCAAGTGTCATGTTAGTTTAGAAAGAGCATCTCCAATGGCAAAAATAAAGACTTCATGAAAAGGTTGAGAATCTATAATACCCCTGAAATATGACAATTTAAATCGAATATTAAGATGAAAAAAGAACCTATGAATATAAAATCATCCAATAGTGGAGAAAATAGTGTAAGAGTTTACATCTGAATAATGGATGCTAGTCAAAAAACCTATTAATCTATACTAATTTGAAATATAGATTACATTCAGGTGTCCCTAAAATCCTCAAAATAAATGCATCTAGTAACTCCACGATTCACAGAGGTGTAATTCAAAACGCTTATCAGGTAAGCATTTAACGTTAAAATTACTACCCAATTTATCTTATGGGGTATTATTTTCGGCCATCAATTGGATTGATAACAAACGTTTATAACCAGGTAAACGCTTATCAGATAAAAGTCATCACCCTCAGTTACTATGCAAGACTTTTGATCCTTGTTTTTTTTCTCCAAAATAGCATTTTCTTTTGACCCGGTTTTTTCTTATCATTGAAAAAAGACAAAAGTAGTTCAAGATCGCCCAAATGAATGTAGAACAAATATTTGAATCTTCACTTGGGTTAGCGGTGAGATTGCTCGAAAAATTCGCTCAGTAGTTTGCTAAAATAAAATCACAATTGTAGACTCTCGATATTTTTTATATTCACCTGTGATAAGATTATTAAACTGGTAAACACTCACCACAGTAAGAATATTTTAGTTGGTTTTCCATTAAAACTTGTACTGGTAATGTTGTCTACATACAGTAATCTATTTGTATAGACGGGTTCAAAAAACTTATCTTTCTACGTAAAAGTGATAAAACTCCATCTAGAAGTTTACTAAATAAGCCTTTTTTCATGTATAGCCTACCAAATAAATTGTCATTAAGCTACTAATACACAGGCCTTGGGGTTCAGTAAACAGCAGCTTAGGCCTCTCAGTTTTTATTGGATCGAAGATGACTAACACCAAGATAATTAATAAGCGATATTGAAAATATTCAATAAAATGAACACCAAAAACAAGTCTTGAACAAAAAACTACCACAATTTCAAAACAAATAAAACAAGTTCAGCATTACACTTAACATTCCTCAAGATGGAACTGGTATCTGATTCTAAACAAAAATTAGAACAAAACAAGCTTTTAGTCGCTTTGACCTAAACATACCAAAATGCCAACATGTCTCGATTCCATTCAATTCGATTCTCACTCGTCATCCTCTTCATCTGAATCATCATTTCCCCCAGCAGCAGCATTCAACGCATTTAACCTCTCAATAAGCTTTTGCTTCCTCTCATCGTAGGTAAGCTTCTTGAGGTTGTATCTAAAATAATACACAAAAGAACAAACAAATAAGAATACGATCACCGGAAAGATGGATGTTTTTTATAACCATCGGTATCTAGGCTAGTGATAGGTTATGTTTCAACCTATTGGATAAGGGGTATGGATATAGAATTTTTATACATTACCATTTTACACGACATTTCAACACAAACGATATGGAACAAGACTATTTTTAGTTCAAATCACTCTTTTGGAGTAATTTGTTGTGGTATCATGATACTGTGATGTTTGTGATTTGAACTAAAAAAGCACAAAAAGTGAGAGAAAGAATAGTGATACCTCTTGTGTTCTTTAGGTGGCTGCTTTTCAGTTTTCTTGGGGTTAGGATCAGCACGAATAGCGGCATGAACCTTTTTGTAAAGTTCTTCAATGGTATCTGGTTCAACACCAGCCTTGATGTAATCGGAGAAGTGGGTCTGGTACTTCTCTGGTTCGTCTTCCATCAAAGTCTGTATCATTCAATAAAGATATAAAAATGTGGCAAAGACTGGAGTCTAGATGCAACTTCTCTACAAATGTTGAAAGTTTTTTATGCTGCATAGATACGATCCCACCATTTCTCTAAAGATCAATTAATATCTAACCCAAATTCGCATCTTTATTGCACATCACCTTATACAAACTGGGCCCAGACGAGAAAAAACTGATAAAAGGTCAAATGAATAGAAACTAAAAGAAACTGGAGAGATGATACTCACATTCATGTAGGCAGCAACATGCCCTCCATAGATGTACTTGCGATGAACATCAGCATCAAGGCTCTTACCGTCCTTGCTAAAACCAGCAAACCTCTTTTCACTGTGAGGGATGTCAAGTCCACCATCCAAGGCTCCCTAAATCATTTAGAATATAAATCAGATTAACATGGTTGATGTCAAATACCCCCCTAGGTTCCAAAATAAATGTCTAACTTTCAAAAATAAGTGGATACCATCGGATTCTAAACTAAGTATAAGATAGAGAAATTGATTACTACCTATATTATAAAGAAACAACCGTCATTAAGAATATAAAGCCATGCTTGCCATGTCAAATATGTCACATGGATGCATACCAAATATATAGATAACCACAAACAGTTAAATACCTTAAGGGCACCAAAAACACGGTTGCCAGTGGTTGTTCGGATAAGACCAACATCAAGAAGAGCACGGAATGGCCTCCTGCTATCTGCAGGTTCAACAGAAAAATCTTCTCCAGTTGCCTGCATATATAACCATCAAACAAAACTTATTACATGTAAAATAAAAATTGATTCAAAGTTGACTGCTAATTGTGTTGATCTTAACCTCAACATTTCCTTCATACTCCTCATCCATTTCAAGCTTTTTCAAAACTCGACGAGCCAACAGAAGCCCCGTACAATAAGCTATATTCATAGAGATGAAGTTGAGTGAGTAATTTTCTTACATCACCAGCATAATAGGATTGCAATGGGATAGAGAGAGAAAGAGAGAACCAGACCTGCTGCATAGTTTGTAAGCCCAACTTTGAGACCATACTGGGGAAGCTCATGAGCATAAGCTGATGCAAGAATCATATCCCCAGCAATGCTTGCAGATATGATTTGTGCAACTATATCCTTGTTGGTCTAATAGTATGGTCAAGGTAACTTTTGACTAAAAGGTAAATAAAACATGTATTCACGCAATCATCTACTGAAGAAATGTATGGTAATGCTTTTAAAAAGCTTTTGATCCAGAATTTTTCACATCCATGGTTTCCCTGGTAGAAAACCAAAAAGTCCATATGATCTTTCTTATTATTCCAAAAAACAACTGAATTGGCAAATCGTGATAAAAAGGTAAAAAGGTGAAGCGTAACAAAAAGGATACAAATCGCACAACATATCGATATTTTGGGGTGTTGTACTTGTTTTTGTCCTGATTAATCAGACGGATCCTAGCACGGTAATCTGTCTTTCCCTCTGCATCCATGAACAAAAACAACAAGAAAAATCAACTAATGTGAAAATAAGAGATCAACGAATGACTTTATCCAAATAAAGAGATTAAATAATGCGCAATTACAATAAAACAAATAGTATAAAGATATGCATACCTCTCCTTCGTTTGAATTTAACTTGAAACCTCTTGAAGTAGGATCTTGACTTCTGGGCTTTGACAAAAACCTTCAAGAATAGATTACAAAAAGTTCAGCTAGGTTCCACAACTTGTAACAATACAAAGTCAGCTAGTTTCTATTTTGTTGTGTTACATATAACTACTGATAAAACAACTGTGAAGCGAATAGAGTAACATATGTTTATTAAGTAAAACACAGATGATGGCCAAAAAAATGAAAATTAGTTCAATTCATGACTTCATCATTGACGAAAAAAACAGATTTGAGCTTATTATTGCTTCTGATCAATATTCTACAACCATTACCAACAAAACATAGAGACAATACCAATTTTGGTAATGCGAATATGACTCCTTTAGGATCAAACATAACAAATTAATTAAAAACAATTAAAGTGCTTAAAAAACATAACAAATTAATTAATCAACTTTAAAAATTCTGAACCGGTTCAAAATCACACTTTCTTCATCCACAAATTTAAAGGCAAAATACTAAAAATATGCCGATGCCAAATTACAGAAAGTCAGTTTGATTCCTCTATAGATCCAAGGAAGCGGCAATAATACACATAAGCACCGATTAATGAAATACAATAAGATTAATTTGTTTCACGCAAAGGCAACAGAGCTAAAATCGCACCATTTTGTTCACATGTAACATACACAATAAGAAGCTTTTTAGCATTTTGACAACAAGACATGCAATCTGAAGCTTTCAAATAGAGGTATAAACACGATTACTACCAAATCATATCATAACGCTCATTAACCCAAAAAAGCAGAAGAATCTAGTTGAATCATATCAACAGTAAACTCCAGAATAAAACACAAAAAACCATATGTTTCGTATAAAAACTAATCACACAACCAACATAGCTAACAATCCATGCTCAACTAAATCTCCAAGATACAAAAATCACTGATAAAACAAAACAATTTAAGCTAACATGACGTCAATGCTAACAAAGGAAACGGCAAAACGACTTATCATGAAACATATCTTCATTGATTCTATAAACAAAATTCAGAAACAGAGAGATTTTGAGAGCATTACCATCGCTAATCGTCGAGGAGCTTCGGCGGAGGGGGGAGGGGGGGATAGAGATTACAGAGGCAGTGAAGAACGAAATGAAGGCGTTCAAATAGCACAAACCCTAGGGTCCTAAAGTCATTAATATGGGCCATTAATTGGGCTTTAGGGTTGTTGAACTGGCCCGTATGTTTCATTTAGAAAATTAGGCCCATTAGTGCTTATAGATGTTACATTATACCCCCTCCAACTGTGGATAAATTACATTAAACTTATAATTATTTTTGTATTTTTAATCTACTAGAAGAGTATTCGCGCAATATAACGAGACACATCTTGATTTTAATGTTCTATTTTATTATTTGTCTCTGTCGATGTTATAATACGATTTTATGTGTTTTTAAGAAAACATTAATGATTTTATTTTTGAATAAAATATTAATTTGAAGATATCATAAAAATTTTAAAATATATATATCAATGTTAATATCAAATCAACTATTTAAAAGTTTTCATTTTTTATGTAATTTCTTTAAT